TCTGACAAAGCTTTTTTTTTAACTACTTTTGTTTCATTGAAAAAAAAACAATTTTATCGAATAATAAAAATATTTTAATAACTATTTTGCAAAAAACACTTAAATAAAAAAGTACATTTAAATATTATTTTGGGATTGTATGTTTTTCTCTTTTTGTGCAATAGGGGAGGAAATAATTTTGTCGGCATTCTGCAAACTCAATTTTAGCTCCTGCGCCACAAGAACTCAGAGACATTTAGACTTGTAAGAGTCCTCCCACACCCCGACGAGGTTAGCTAGTGTTGTTCGATTTACGGGAACTCTCGTTATTTTTACTTGCAATTATGTTGTACGGGAAGTTAGACTATTGCTCGAATAAACCTTTGCAATTTTTGGAGTACCGTCTAGGCCTCACTAGCAGTGGACTATCAGTGTGGGTTTGAACTGGTCAGGGACGGAGCTATGCAATGGCCTTGTACTTTCTAATAAGGGGGTGTCAATTTTATTCATTAACACAAACTCGATTCGAACTCTATCTGACACAAAATTCAAAAATAATACGATTCGAATCCTATCTGCCACAAAATTCGAAAATAATACGGTTAATTGGCACGAGTAACAAAATGATAAAATTAAGTGGTTGGTATTTTAGCACAGATATTAAGTACCACTTTGATAAACGAGTGACAGACACACACTTGTTATTATCAAGTATTTTAGCCTATACTAATTTTTGATTATATTGAATATATTCTTTGATTGATATGATTTTATAAACTGTACAAATAATTCTCAAGATTGATATGAATTAATGTATATAATGCATTATATTGTCAAGATAGATAAATATTGACACGAACCCCACACCTATCAAAAGTGACCCGACACGAAAATAGCATGGTCAGAAATTACTCGACACGACAATATTGACACCGCCTACTTTCTAGACGATCTATAGGTATCCTATTGAAATTATACCTCTTGATGTGCTTCTAGCCCCCACCCACCAAAAAAACAAATCTCAGTCTCAAAGAATTTAGAACCGCAGAAATTTGAATTAGACGTAAAAAAACAACAACAACAACAACAAAAAATCAATCACAGTTGAAAAGCTAAGTCAAAAAAATCAAGTCCTATCTTTTTCTTCTCTCATCAATTAAGTGGTTGGTATTTTAGCACAGATATTAAGTACCACTTTGATAAACGAGTGACAGACACACACTCGTTATTATCAAGTATTTTAGCCTATACTAATTTTTGATTATATTGAATATATTCTTTGATTGATATGATTTTATAAACTGTACAAATAATTCTCAAGATTGATATGAATTAATGTATATAATGCTTGGCCCACCCAAGGACAAAACCTTAGATTCATCCCTGGCTATAGTCACGCCCAGACAATAATTTTATTTTTTAACGTTAAAAAAAATAATAACAAAGCACGAAAAACAATACTTAAAAAAAAACGTTATCTAATGTTCTATTAATTTCTCATGAGATCCGTATGAAAAATATATAAAAACAAATGTTATCATTAAATTTTAGGATCAAGTATTGCAGAATGACAAAATCCTTGGACTCGGAGAACTATGGAGTGGAGGGGTGTGGGGTTTTAGAAATGATTTGCTTTAGATATTGGGTTTGGATCATGGACTCAAACTAAGGCATTTATGATGGGTTGATCCAATTATAATGTCCATGGAACATGATTTTTTGGAGGAGTTCTGTCCCACCTAAAAGACGTGTCTATTAAACTACTGCGAACATGTTCGACATCTATTTGCTTACATAAAAGAAAATACAATACATTGTGTTGACTCATTTTCGCCTACATCATCTTCCGCTAACCCATGTGCAGGCCTAGAGTCCCATTCCCAATTTTCATCCTCTAAAAAAAAGTTGTGTAGAGTTTTTATATTTTATTATTTTTAATCAATAATTATAAAATCATATGAGATGTCTCATTAATATGAAATGAAATTAAAGGGTTTTGGTTTTTTTTAAACCGCTCGTTTCATAAATGAGTAGATCTGATACGACACGATTAATAAACAAATTTAGAATGAGTGAATCTAATAAGAAAAATATACGACTTATTTATATACCGGTTATATATGATTCATACAAGATATGAATCCGATATAATACGACTAGTTAAACATGAGTAAATAAACGAATCGAGTATAGGTGAAATATTTTTTGACAAGAATTCGTCTCACTTGACACAATTGACAAACTTAATTGTAACTACTACCTTATCCAAATAAACTATTTTTAAGTCTTTTTAGTGGAACAGTAAGGAGTTATTTGTTTACATGTTTGGTTATAAATTTTTGTGGGGTGCATTCATTTATTTGTCTTAATATTATTGGTTGGTGATATTGATAATTTATGTGCAAGTATACACGATCAATAAGTAATAAAATGATAAGTAGAGTATTGTTACCACTTACTAATAATTTTTAAATACTAACTTTATATCAATTTAATTTTATTTAAACAATTGAAATTAAACTATGAAATTACTAATTTGAAAATAAATCTCAAATTACTAAACAAAGACTGATTTCACCAGATTAAAGAACTTAAGATTATAACATCCCCTAATGCTTTGTATAAATCTTTTCACTCTTTTTTTAGTTAATTAATCAAAATAAGTTGTTAGCTGATAATTCAAAAGTATTTATTAAACCTTTTTCAATGGTTAGATAAAAATATTTCTCCCAATTAAATCACTATATTCTTATGTAAAATAAATTTGAACAGATTCATTAAGCTCAAAATCTCATAAAAGTTACACACGGTATACAGGTATATTCCTTCCTATACACAAATTCAGCTATTCAATCCTAAGAATAAATAACTAAACGCATGTTATCATATTCAGATCTAAACCTTTGAATTCATCTTCCAATTTCATCTAAGAAATCAAATTAATTGATGGCCAAAACAATCATATAGTAAGCACAAAATATGATAAATAACTTATGTATGATCAATGATAACTGAAAACGAGAGTAAATTAATTCAACTAAACATCAGTTTCTATTGCAATCTTAATAAAAATTTAGTTCACAACATAATTGAAAAACATCATCCTCAAATTAATCAACATCTCAAAAAATCAAAAACTAAAAGTAAGAGAAAAGAATAAAAACTATGTTGCAATCTTCAATCTCTCTCTAGTCTTCAATTTCAATCTTCTTCGCGTTGCTTCCTTTGATCCTTGCCTTTAATTCACTATCAATCCTTGGTTCTCTCTACGTGTATATATATATATATATATATATATATAAACCCTAACATGTGTGTAGCGTCAGTGTTCAATTTCTACTCAAAAATAAGTCAGCATTCGCCTTCTACGTTGAAACCCACGCTGCAGCCCCACAAACTTGAAAATTTGTCAAATGAGGGAGGAAAATACTATAGAGCTTCCTGTCAAGTGTCTAGTACTACTTTATTTTACCTCTTTTGCAACCAAATAGCTATTTGGTAGAAAAAGAATATAGGCCACATGAAGAAAATTTAGAATTTAAAAAGAGCAAAGTCATGAATGAGTATTTTTCTTAATTTTTGACATGCACATGTGCAATAGACAATTGCTTACTCAAATTATTATTTATTGTGAAAATTTTGACAGTCTTATCTATTAGAGTGTTATGAAATAAAATTGATACTTTATAGTACAATGTGAGAAATTTTATAGTTAAGGGTACAAAGTAAAACAAATGTTATAGTTCAAGGGGATAAAATATAATTTACCCTATATTTTTTTGGTTAATCACAAATTTCACCCCAAAAAATTTCTTGAGTCTCAATTTGTATCCTCAAAGATCAAAAATCTCAATTTACACCTTTAAATGTATGAATTTGTATCTAAAGTTAACAACCGTCAATTTGTCGTCTAAAACTACATAGGTAAATTTCACTTAGACCCTCTCATGTTCGATCACTTGATCCCCTCACATTTAGAAAACCTACACCCATTGACATTTGTGCATGTGTATTACATAACCCTTTATTGTCAAATATCCGTTAATATAATCGTAAAAAAATATGATGTCATGCTAATAAACAACTACAATTTTTATATTACCTTTTATTTTGTAAGTCCGTTGTACTCTAAAATTCAAAAAAATTACAAATTTTTAAAGTTAAATTACAACTTGTAAATGACCTGATCGATCGTAGAAGGTTGCCATCGATATCGAAATTTACAATTTTCAAAGTTAAGTTACAATTTTTGAAGATCCAATTATAACTGATAAAGTAGAAGTTATAACTACTTAAGAAAAGTTGATAATTGATCATGAGTACCTATAATCGATCATGCCGTTCTTTTGAACAATTACAACTTTTCCTTTTAAATGTTAAATTTTACCATAAAAAAATATAATTTTTGGGACAATACTAAAATATTTTTTTTGGTCCGTAGACTTTCCCCATTTACTAACATAATTCATTACAATAATTTAAGTAATTGTAAATTCCAATAAATACTAAAGTTCACTGTTAATCTAATGATTAGGGTACTCAAATAAGCCATCAAGTTTTAGTTCATAGGTAATTTAATAAGATCTTTGGAGGTAAAAAAAAACCAAAATGCAATTGAACTACAAATGATTGAAGATAAAGACGCAAAGGACACTGTCCCTAACAAACTACTGCCATTGTAGAATTAAGAAAGTGTTAAATATATACAATTTTATCACGCTTGTGGAAAAATTATTTTTCATAACTTGAACTCATGACGGCAAAGCCAAAAATAATCCAACCATTGCACCAAAATCCTACCCAAATAATTATTCTATTTTGGAAATGAACGCAATCACTAGAGCAAACTTTTGCAAAACAAAGCCAACAGAAATCAAAAGAAAGAACTAGACGAGATAAAATTGAGAAAAAAACAAGGAGAGAAAGAGAAATTACCAACAGATTTATAGAAGCTAAACCCTTGTGTGCTTACACATACAAAACAAAGGCATTTTCAATTAACTACAGGATACATCATTCAATCATGAAGCTATCACGGAACGAGCACTGTTTCGTCCAAGGCCAAGACCCAACCCTAAAGGAACAGAATCGGTTTTGCCGCTGTTACCATGGCTACAATGAGAAGAATGGATGTGACCATAATGGGTTTGTGCGTTCTTATCCACATTAATAGCTACATGGCCATTTCCATTGGTTTGATGAGAATGACCAACCCCATTTTGCAGATTTGAATTCCTAGACATATGCACCATTCCAATCCCTTCAGTTTGAGCTGATTCTTCGTTGTACTCCACATCTTCATTGTAACCATTTATCAAGAAATCCGAACAATTCTTCTTCAACCCATGGTCATATGGGTTCCTGAACCGGCCTCCTGGTCCTTTAAGGTAGCTATAGCGCATAACATTTGCCATTTCATTGGTTGTAATATTCCGAGATATCTGAAGCAACAAAAATGGTATCCATGTAAGAAAAATAACATTTCAATTGCCTTCCTGTTTAACCTAACAAGCTATGGATTCAGATGCAGGACGGTAGTTACCAACATCTTCATGTCTTTAGGAATCAAACATATTCTATGAGGCATATCCATTATCATAGTATGAAGCATTCATTATAGGCATTAATCATTAGTGATTGCATGGAGCAGTTTCTGAAAGCCGTGACATAAATAAGACGTGGACAATTGGTCAACAACTTGAGGAGTCACCTCTAAATGGTTTTCCTACATATTAGGAATTGATCGAAACTTTATTCAAGTGAGCATCAATTTTGAGCTACAAAATACGATAGTCAACCCACTTCTAGAGTGTCCTGGACCTGTTTCAGCCTTACAACTAAACATATTACAGGTTGTGTTTCTCTCCAATATGATGAAAAAAATTGAGAAAAACTTCGAATGTGCAAAACCTAGTTTTCAAATGTTTAAACATGATTGCAAGCATTCCTTTCTAAAAACATATGTGAAAACTTCTCGAGATTCCTCCAAGTGTATCAGAAATAATTCCCTAAATTGGTTCACCAAAAGCATCATGCAAAATGAACTCTAAAGCAACATTTTCTGTCACATTTTTAAGTATCGGATTATTGATTAGCATGGATAGTTGCACCTACAATTTCAGCTGTAAGATCTCATGTTGATGACACCATATTATGCATGCTGCATGCATGGAGAAAAACAAATGTGCTTCCAATAACTAGTTGGAAATCTTATTATGAGTGCAACAAGAAAGATAAAAAACAACTACGAACATACCTGAGAAGCTTGTACAACAGTTAAGACGGCCACACCAGAGAAGAGGAAAAAATCAGAAATGACAAATGATATAGCACCAAGATGCTGACTACCAGCATGGTTCAACCATGCTCCAAAAGATGAAGGAGCCATTGGATCAGTCAAAACTCCTGCATTGTTAACAGATTTCAGCAAATGAAGCCATCATAACAAAAAGGAGGATATACAATAAGTGACTTATTATTGGGTTAACAATGTTGACATTTTTGACTTTTTTTTATACTTCCAAAAACTTACTTGTAAGAGCCACTGCACCAGTTACTATCATTGCAAAAACTTCTAGAACAAGAAACAAAAAGAAATCCCATTTGTTCTTCTGTATCAGAAAGACGCAAAAGAATCAGTCAAAAAAAAAAAAAAGTGAAAGCAAAATACAACACATACAGACTGGGAAAAAAAATCAACAACAATTATAAGAAAAGCAGCAAATTCAGTACATGATTATGAAACCCTATCTTACTATACATAGATAAACAAGTTGTGAAAGAGCATTAAATCACTAAGCAGAAATATCTCGCTATATATCTACTGAAGGAGCCGATACTCACTGATGAACAATATCCTCACTTGATTCTCTCTCCAGAAATATACACACAAATTCATGTATATTTGGATTGATCTTTGCACATATGTATGAAAAAAAATGTTCATTTTGAAGCAATTCTGCATGTGAATATGAAAGTTGCAGGCAAAGCAATAAAAGGATGCCTAAGATCATTTGATCTGGCCATATACTCCTTGTTGCCCACATGGCAATATTCTGATTTTACTATCCCTTTAGGATTCAAGTGATAAGTGAAAAATCAAGTAAGGCATTCATCAGTGTCAACAGACCTTGCCAATGCAATTAGATACCCAAGGGCAATGATGATCAAACTGTTCAACACAACGATCACAGGTCGAACAATGCTTTGCACGAACGGGTCGGACAATCTAACAAAAATCAAATCAAATAACATTAGAAAGCAAGCAATACAAAAATGTGTTGAATTAGTAGTACATAGAGGTTAAAGTATCAAGAGAACACAGCACCTTGCATGTCGCGCAGAGCTGAGACCAATTACCAGCAAGCAAGGCAGGATTATTTATCTCAATCTTCAACAAAGGTTCCTGGTAAAAAAATAATAAAGTAAAAACTTTTAAAAACATTTGAAACGTATGTGTCTGAGTATATAAAAGCACCCCTATAACCCACTTAAAAAGAGTATAAAGTATGACAAACGACGATGAAGGAAAAAGGCAAGATTCTTTGAGGAACAAAAAAACCAAACCATAAATATAATTTTAGGCAAGAATAAGCAATTGCAGGAAATAAGTTATATAAAACAGCAAAAACTTACATCATCTTTCATATTTTGTGGATCATGCACATTCATTCTGATGTAACCTGGATCTTTGCTACAAACAAAAATGTCAAGCAAAACTCTAATCAGACAATTCACACAAGCTCGGTGTACAAGAAATAAGCAAGTAAAAGTCCTTCTATGATCGCTGTCACACTGTTGTCAAGTAAGTTTTTTTACATATCTGCCTTTAAGAGAAATTAGTCAAGCAACACAACGATGCAATCTGCAAGCACACACCATTCATTTCAGAAAAGTATATCTTCTAAATAGCATAGTTTGGGTCCTTCTGAAAAAAACAAAACAAAAATTACAGTTGACTCTACACAAAGCTAACTGCTAGTGTTCAGAGTGAAGTGCTTTATTGGGAGAAAAAAAAAATAGATTGCCAGGTGACAACTCAAATGGAAGCATAAGAGGAGACAAAAGAAAACAAGGTTGTGTGGGCAGAAAAACCACGAGAGCTTGCGTGAAAAGTAACAGATTTCAACTAGGGTTCTTTTTTCCCAGTAAGTGTCCAGCTACCAGAGTTGGGCAACATATTTACACTATCTTTCTTGAGATGGGACCAACTAGAAAATACCACCTAATTGTCCACATAAGTTGGGTGACAGCAGGAAACAGTAAACACCAGACAATAAAGTTCAACAAAAATGAGAACTGATCAACAAAAAAATGAAAAAACAACCAAAAATGAGACAGCATATCTCAATAATATGAATGACAATAAACCACTATTGGCATTAGAACCACCAAAACCAAGGTCACATATCTTTAAGAAATTAAGCAAGTCCTATGTAGTTGTCAAAAAAAATCATCTCCTTGACATATTAGGGCAGCTCAGTGAACAAGTCTCCCACCAGTGTAGGATCTCCTTGACATATTGAGAATCCAAAATTTCAATACACAACTAAATACATAAAGGCAACGCAATTATTTTAGTAACGAGAAATCTTTTAACCATGCTTATTTTGGACTCCTGACTGCAACATAATAATATAATACAAAATATCCATATTGGAATACTCTTCTAGATACTATTCTCATCGAATACTCGAGGATACTATTGAATACGCACCATACATACCTAATAATTAACGAAATAACTTTGTTTCAGTATCTCTCTTGGATATGGATATCCATGATGAATATGCTTTGAATATGGAAGAGGAAAAGCTAAGCAACCAATTTTAGTTTTAATCTTTACCTTTTCCACTTGAATTCACATCCAATGATATACACACTGAAAAAAAAAATTCTATAAGCCTTTAAAGATATGTGGGTGTTTATTAAGAATTCTCTACTACCACATATTAAAATAACTTAAAAGGGTTAACTACACCCGATCTCTTGGCAACAAGTACTTCTATACAAACCATTGAGTGAAATGTCAATCTTGATTCCTTTAGTTAGCCACAATCAATTATATGACCATAATGAGATGATCTATGCTTCTTTAAAAGTAAAAGTTACGTATTTTTTGTATTATTACTATAAGCATTTACTGAAAATCACAATTATCAAATAGTCAAATAATATTACAAAATAATTATATTATTATAGTCATAACTTGATGGTATCTGCATTCTATTATTTTCAGTTTTGCAGTAGCCTTGTGTCCATATTGTACCTTACCCGTATTTTATATCTATATCCGTGTTTTGTAGGCTACAAACAAAAACCACAAATGCATGCAATTAGTCACAAACCATACACATTGGCTAACCCCGGATTTTCAAAGGTCAGGAGGGACTCAAGATGTACAGATTTTTGCCCACCCACTTTGTTCAACCACTAAAGTAGTTTTCGCCTTCGAAACAGAAAAAAATTACATTGCTTACCAACTTAAGCCCGCCTAAAAATAAACAGTATTATCATGTTATATTACAAGTTTGTAAGTTCATTATTCAACTTCATAAAGAAGTAAACTTTTAGCAATAATCAGATCCAGCACAAAATGTCATAGCCATGTCGTCATTCATGGTACCACCACTTAAAGGATTAAAAATCAATGTCGATAACCAACTTTGGTGGATTATTGCAGTGATACTAAAATTCAAGCATATAAAAAGGTTATCCTAAGTCCAATAGGCAAAGGTCTGCAGAGCATACCAGCTACACCTATAAAACATAGCCAATCCAGAAGTTGCTAGGAGAACACCCAACCATGCAAAAAGGCCAAAGCCAGCAGTTAACTTTGGCAGATTCGGAGCTGCAGCCAAAGAGAAAACATACAATTTCAAGTATGAAGCCTTGCCCTAGAAAAAGCTTAATTTAAGATTGAATGCAAAGATAAGGGCAGATACCCATGATGACTGAATGAATGTATGTCACAAGTAGCAGAAAAATTATAAACCAAAGTATTGGTGCAAGTCCTAATTTTGAAAGTTGCCCAAGGCGACTGTTCCCATCACAACGTTTGTCAAGCAACCTCCGTGCATTTCCCTGCAGAATCAGATTTGTCAAATATAAAAAACACATAAAACATCAAGGATGATGGGTCCAAGCAAATTCTACAACCACCAGAACGATTAAAATTTCAAAAAAAAAAATGAATAGAAATATGACAAGCAAAATTATGCCATCAAAAGTAGGAAGTATTATAACAAAATGAATTCCTGCAAACAACATAACTTAATAACCAATCTTAAAAAAAAAACATAGGTACCAAAAGTATTGAATCCAAAGCATACACATATTAACAAGAAAAGTAGATCAATCATGACTCACTAATCCACCAATTGTTAGATCAGTGACAAAGACAACTGGATGATCCTCATGCAGGAAGACTCAGAAATTTCCCACAGGGAATCCCAAGGACATTATGAAAGTCCTTCATATATCCACGTGTAGTCACTAAAATGTTCAAAATGCATAACAATAATATTATTGTATCTGGTGATGGCTAGAAGAAACGCTGCAACTTTCCACTAAGAATATTATTCACAGAAAAACAAAGGAAGGTTATGAAATCTATATATCCTAAACTGAACTCAAATATATACAGAATACCACGGTATTGAAGGCCAAATGTTCATCTATCTGCATAAGATTAACATGTGTACTTGCAAATTCAATAATATCAATACATAAAATGCCTAACCAATTGGTCACCGCTGTACAGAGAAGTGACTTAAGAGCACCAACACCACAAGATAGCAACACACCCAATCCCTAAATTGTTGGGAGGACAACAAATTACAATCATCTGTAGAATGAATGCAAGACAACCTCCTAAAACATAGGAAAGCAAAAACACAGTAAGTAGAGGAACTTTCGCAATGTACAATGAAATCCGGATCTTACATTGGCATGTGCAATTTTCACAGAATTACCAATTGTTACAATGATGCTAGTTGCACTTAATTTGAGGACCAAGTACACTAGATAAATTGTGAATTTTGTTTAAAGTTAGTATTCATTATTAATTCAATGATTAAAATATATTGAGTATTTAAATTATATTGTAAAATTTTAATTATATATCATTGTTTATTTTATTTTGGAGCCCCAATTTTTCTTCCAAATTGGGGGCCTAGGCAATGGCCTAAGTGGCCTAAAGGTTGGGCTGGCACTGATTAACAAAAGCATCAGAAAAAGTGGTGTTAAACAAGTATTTTTACAGTACACTAGTGTGTCATTATTGGTAGCTTGACCCGAATTGATACGAAATACCTCCCATCCTAGCACATGAACATTGTGAGCCTCTCCACTTATTGCCGATTGTTTTAAGTTGAATGCTTTACCATAGTATCAAAGTTAAGCTTGAGAAGTACTTGGGCAAGACACAATCTCATCAATTTAGTAATTGCTTCATTCTTTGTTCATGCCATAGTTGCACTTCTCATGCCTTTGAATTTGTCATGTAAATGTTCTGTTTATCTCTCCACATGCATGTGGGGATCACACGTGGGAGGAGTGCAAGAGATTCTCCCGCATGTATAAAAAAAACCCTTCCCAACCAACTAGTATATGAGCCTTTTAGATCTCTCCACTCATTGTCAATTGGTTTTAAGTCACTCACTTCAACAAATATGATATTTCCATTCATTCTATGTCACATATTAAAACAAGGCCAAAAAAACTTTGCTTAGTAAGAAATTTGAAGTTCTATAAGAGGGTAACCTCATGCTAAAAGCGTGACTAAAATACTTCCACAAGCAAGACAGATACTTAGAAGTAATAAGGTATACATACAAGGAAAAAAGCAACTTGTCTGTGATTTTTATCCGAAGCAAGCTGTGCTGGTGTAAGGCCAGTGTTGTCAGTCACCATCAGATCTTCTTTCTTCCCAGCCTGCACCAACACTGTGCATGCTTCTAAGTTCCCCCGAATAGCAGCCCAATGGAGAGGGGTACAACCTAAAATATATAAGGGAAGCAATTGAAAAAGATATTTTTTATCAGCCAAGGTAGTCCTTTAAATAAGTGTCAGCTGCTTCTATTAAGTGCAACCATGTAAAATTTCAAAACAGCCAGAGAAACTTTAAGACAAAGCATGAAAGTGTACCCTCTTTGTCCTGGCGCCCCCTATATGCGTCCAAAAACAGAAGAAGGCGTATACTATCGGCGAAACCCTTATATGCAGCCCTACAGTTCCCCAAAGGTAAACCCACCATTACTTCAAACACTAAACAAAGAAACACGTAAGAACAACTCTTTTTTCAACAATGATAATAATTGTAACCAGGAGTGCGCTTTACATGTTATGAATGTGCACACAACCAAAAAATTGTTGTGCACATGCACATAATAACATTACGGAAAGCAAAAAGCAAAATAAGGTCACCAGTTTAAAAATTTATCATCAAGAAGTACAGAAACAGATTTTTTCTATAGACGAAATGTTTCATCTAAAGCTGCAATATATGTATTGCATTTCAAACACTTGAATATTTGACATCTTTACTAGTCGGGTAGTCGGATTTAGAGGGGATTTTGGTAAAGCTAAAGTTTTTATTGTATAATGTCTAAAATATTGCACAACGGAACATAAAAGATTAAATGAAGCATGAAACATTATGGCATAAACACTTTTAATCTTTACATTTTTTAAAGTAGATTAACCATCTTCTGACGATACATGATTAACACTTTGCAATAGGTTTAAAAAAAAGGTAAAATATGAAACAGCAGCTTCGCAAATGTTGTGATTAGTTCCAGCAGTCCATATCTCTTTGATTGTCAAATACTATTCATCAAAAGACCAGCTTTAGAAGAAAAAAGAGATCTCATAAATCACAGAATTTGAAACATTGATTTCAGCACCAATGACTGGTTGTTAAATCAATTCTTAATGCTCAATTGTCTATGAAAACAAGAAAACCAAAAATTTCAGACAAAGATAATAAATAAATCTAAATAATACTCTTGTCAACATGAATATTTTGTCCACCTTACGTACAGATACATCTAAAACATTTTTTTTTTTGATAGGTGATACATCTAAAACATTATTCTGACGAAGACCACTAAAATTGTAATTCTTGATAAAAGCCTTGGGAAACAAAAGCATGGTTAGATTTTTCATATACCAGTGTAAAGGACTTCTTCCATCATTATCAGGAACATCAGGGTCACCGTTCCATTTTGTAACAACGTGGTAAAGGAAAGATGTCTGACCATATTGCGCTGCAACATGTGTTGCCTGCAAGTCAATTTGATAATACAATTAGAATTAGAGCTTGCTACAATATAACCAGTGTGTCTATCAACACAAAGTCATCAGAGTAAGGACATATAATTAATATGGAAAAAAAAAAAAAGAAGAAAGAGAATTGGGGGGAGGGGGAGGCAGAGCAATTCACATAAAGAAAGAAGGAAAGAAAGGATAAAATAATGATCAGCCTACTTGCTCTTCATGCTCCAGGCAAAGTTTTCCTGCACCTCATTCAGTTTAATAGTAAGATAATGTCAAGTTAAATACAGACCGGTGACTGGTCTCAAATGGACTCTAACTCAACAGAACAACATATGTGCACAGCATCAGATCGCCCATCCCCAGTGTATAGTTCATTATTAACTGGGCTGTTTTAGCTTGCTTTTATCAAGTAGTTTTCAAGTTACGATATGGATCTTGGGATATACTTATATATATTAGTCAATGCACACCTACACAAATCATTTTGAGCTACAAATTAGGTTTTTAATTTTTATATCTTATTCATATTATCTCTACACTGATGGTTCGCATGTATCTATATTACTAATATATCTTGTCTAACTAATTTAAATCACTAGTTCATGTTTCCTAACAAATAGGATAACACTTCTTGATATTAATTTCTTTACCATACCTTACAGGAATGGAATTGTTAATTTTTGGGTGATAAACACAACCATGCATGTGAGTCACTTGTGTAAATTTAGAGGAAGTAGGAGGGCCTTAATTTGTGTTATAATAGAATATTAAGTGGATTTTGAATATTGATCAGCGATAAAATAGAAAATAAAAAATTTTCACATCAGCTGACCTTTATAAGTGATATGGATAGATGCATATGTGAATCTCAGCATATAACTTAATAATGGGGGATTGCAAGACTTAGCTTAAAGGTGAAAACTACGTAGAAAGACACCATTAACTGTCCTTTTTTCTGCTGAAAAGAAGCATTAAAAGTTAGGGGTACCTGTGATAAAAAGAATTCGGGCCTATTAATGGGCACATATCCAATTAATGTTCATAATTCCAGCTCAAATGCAGCATATTAAGATTGATGCAAGAAGCATTGCTCAAAGAACTGTTATCATATCTTTTGGACCTATTTCAATCCCAAAAAACTCTCTTCAATTGCTACAAAATGCTGTTCAAAAAAAATTACTACAAAATGGTTCAGAAGAAAGAATGAGCAAAAGATAAACAAACCTGATACCCATATATGTCCGCAGCATTCACCCGAGCACCCTCTCGGAGCAAAAGCTCTGCAACCTGGATTGCACCCCGCACTGCACTCCAATGTAATGCTGTTTGCCCGGTATGATCAGCAGCATTCACATCTCCCCCATGCTGCCATATATGAGACCCAAAAAAATATAAGTTCATACGAATATACCTCTACTTAAACCCCATCTCTTTGAAATACAAAAACAACAAAAAATCAATAAGCAATTTTCAACTTACAAATAAACAAAAAATCTCACCAATGTTTCCTGAAGTAAATACGACAAAACATATACCTATTCAATTCAACTGTTAGCGATGACAAGTGAACCCTTAAACCCATGCCACCCCTAATGCAACTCGAACCATCATACCTACTGCCTACTAGCCCACCTTTTCACTAGTCCAAGGTACCAATTAATTCAACTGCAACTTTTGAGAGTGACAAGAAAAAAGGAGTGTAATTAGAATCTTGACATACACAAGCACAAACCCAATTTTGAGAGAGAGACAGAGAGATAAACTTGATAAATGTCCGTTTTTGTGGTGCTTCTAAGAACGTCATTAGGGAGCGAAAGTAAGGCTCAAACTTTGATCCTGGCCAGCAAAAGGGTGACTTCATCTGAGGGCTCACAATTTATCTCCAATTTTCCCCAAGTTCAAATTCCCACCATACTCTTTCACTTCCCCAAAAAAATTGTCTCCCACTCTTTCCCATCTTTGAATTTTCTCTCTCCCCCTTCACCTACCACACACATACACACACCTCTTTCTCTCTATCTATCTCTCTCACTCTCTCTCTCTCTCTTTCTCTCTCTCATACAGTCTACCACTATGGAACAACGCCACCACCACATCCCTTGCACCCCCTCATCTTCCTCAACCCATCATTGCTTTGGATCTCAGGAATTTCTCTCCCTCACTCACTGCTCTACAACACACATTCACATTCACATAGTATTTTCCTTCTTCTCAGTA